CACCAAGAAAACTGCAGGGACTGGTCCAGGCGGGTGCCGGGAGTCACGATTGACTCGGGGACACCAATCCCCCCACATCCAAAAAGGAGGCCCCCCTCGAAGGTTGGGAAACCCTGGGCTACAGGAAGGCGGGTTCCAACTCCATGCCAGGCACCTAGAGAAGCCGTGGGCTCCCATTGTCTAAAAGCTTTCCAAAGAGGACCATCTGGCCAGAATTACTTCCCCTGGATTTGTGGACCGAGAAAGGGGTGGGCTTGATGGCTTCACTGGCCCCGTCCAACTTCACAATGAGATGACTCCCTCCCTCAAGCCACGTGGGGGAGTTGTGTGAGACCCCGGAAGGGCATATTTCATCTCTTGGAAAGTTCCCCACATTTCCCTTGACCCCCGTTAGCCTCTTGGACACCCTTCTGTAGTTTTCGTGGCAACCATACAGGAGCGGTTTGCTACCGCCTTCTTCCAGGCAGTTTTTTTCAACGCTCTGGGATTTCCTGGTGGTGGCCCATCGAAGGACAAACCACACTCAACCCTGCTTAGCGCCTTCCCCCCCCCCCCAGATCAGATAAAATCCGCTAGCTGTTTCTGCTCACCTGGGCAAAGCAGGCATTTCGCAGTGAAAAAAGTCAAACCTTGGCCATGCGGCCACCTCCGCTCTGCTCCCAAATAATGTTAAGCGTGGCACGTGGGCACAATAAGATTGCCTACTGCTGGCGGTTGCTCTTTCCGTTGGATAGGACTGACAAAGGCACCCCACATAAAACGTCAAGGCCAGAACGAGTCTTGAAAGTCTGCCTGCGTCCTTGCAGGCATTCCTGAGGACAGCTTGGTGGGTGCACTTTTCCCCCAGACCCGCGTCCCCCCTCCCTGCCCCGCCGTGCTAATTAGCCCCTGCCATCTCTACCTTTATGGACGAGGATTCCGGCCAGGTTGTTCAAGATCACGTGGGCCTCCGGGTGCTCGGTCTGCTGGGCCAATTCTGCCGCCCTGCTCACTCGGGCGTGGGCTTCGTCGTAGAGCCCTTGGGAGTCCAAAGCCGTTGCCAAGTCACTCATCACCACCACCGTCTGGGCCAGGAAGAAGGAAAACCCAGGCCGGAAGGACAGAATGGTGATTAAAGGAGCTCCAGACCAGGGGAGCCCCCCTGCTCTACAGCTCTGTGAAAAAGATGTTTCAACGGCACGCTGGGCCATTCCCCAAGCGGGACAACGTGGGGTTGAAAGCAATGCGGAAGAGGGCTTAGGTAGAGGGTTATCCATCGCTATCCTTGGTCAGAAGGAGAATGGCACAAGGGGTCACGAGAGAATCCACTTCCCCACCAGGCCAGCTCAGGAAATAGAAAGACGCCAACCTTCAGGGGCCAAGAGAATCCTTCCAGCCTTCGCTGTGCCATTTATTTATTTTATTAGATTTACATCCCGCCTCCCATCTTCCCCACCACCACCGCCGCCTCCCGGCGAGGTGAGTTGGACTGAGAGAGAACAAATGGCCCAAAGTCCCCCAGCCGCCTTCTGTGCCAAAGGGAGGCCTAGAGCTCCCAGCCTCCCCATTTCCAGTGCA